GGGGTAAGTCGGCTGCGATACGTCGAATTCAGCTACGCTATTCACGTAGCTGAATTTGCGTATCTTAAATCGACTCCCCCCTGTAGTGTAGATGTACCCTCAGGGGGAAAGTGGATCTCTAGATTTAGCAGAAGTAGAACAAACACAATAAACAATAATTATAATCAAACATTTCACATGGTGTCCTTTGTCCTAGAGCAGCAGCTCTGCACCCTCAGGATCTGGATTGTACACGGGGAAGGTTATAACCATCCCTTTCAGATCCCAGATCCTGAGCAGTGGCTGAGGAACACGCACGTACCTCAGGAGGCGGGAGTGACATGAGTGACAGTAAGAAACCATTGTGCTCCTCTGCTCCTGGGCCCATCAGGGTCTGGTCCCCAGCATGAATTAGAGCAGCCTGCAGGCTGCTCTAGTTTACATCAGCTGCCTATGGCCCCAAAGGCCGTCCGAGCACATGGGGATCCGTTGGGCAGCCAGGAGGACGGGTTGTGTAGCAGGTGTTATGACCACTCCAAAATCCCACTACAGTGGCCTGCTCCTCCAGTGGCCAGTTGGATTGCAAGTTGTGGTCCTTTTATATGTGGCTACCGGGAGCCTGATTCTCCACCATCTTCATCATTATTCACACCCGTGCAGATGGATGCAGAGTGGGTGCAAAGCACGATCTGAATTGCAGCTGAGTAGAGAACGCTGATTTGGTAGCATTTTGCATGCACCCTTTGTACAGATGTAAATACAACACAAGGTGCAGGGCAGCAGAGAATCAGGCTCCAGGTGGTTCTGTTTACATGGCAACACTTGTAAAATGGAGTCATCATAACAAACCCCTCTAGCTCCTGTGCCCTGTATCATGGATCAGCAAGGACTGGGGGTGCACATTAATTTTTGTATCTGCTCTGTTTAGTTCCCGTGTAAATGTATTTGTGATGCATGTAACTTTCCTTTAGGAGCCCGACTGATGATAAAAGAAAAATGCACGTATACGAAGAACACCGTGTGCGGCTGTGTCCCGGGGGATTTCTGCCCACATCCAGCAGGCCTGGACTGTGAAATATGTAGTCCCTACACCATCTGCCTCCCTGGCTCTATGGTGAAAATACCTGGTAAGGCAACATAACTTCTGTAATACCAAGGCAAACCCCTGCAGTCACAGAACGAATCTGGAGCACGGCAAACTGGCTGAGAGTCAATCCGGGTGAGACTGAGGTGATGCTGGGGAAGCAGCCAGAAGAGTGGCTGGGCTGTACATGGCCCCCCTCACTGAGGGAGCGGGACTGCCATTTGTAACGCCGTTGCACAGCCCCAGGGTGGCGTCAGAGCTTGTGCTGAGCTGGATGCCCAGGTAACAGCTGTGGCCAACTTCTGTCCATCTGGGCCTGGCCAGACGCCTCTGACCTCTTCTCCCCAAGGCAGGAGTCTCTGCTGACCTGTGCTCTGCCCGGGGCCACCCCTTAGGTCTGTGCAGAATGCTGCAGCCTGCTGACGGAGTGGAGTTGCCTGTTGGTCGCATGTAGGAATTGGCTTTGACCTATAGAGACAGAAATGGTTTGGGTCCTGACGGCCTCTGTCCCCGGCACACACTGCCCCAGCTGCGCTCAGCAGAGGCGCTCACGATGGAGCTCCCTCGCTATACGTGGGGGGCAGGGGCGTGGGAGCGAGAGAGCTGCTGGGGGTCCTCCACTCTGGAATTGCTATTCCCTGCCCTGGGCCCTGCCCTAGAGCTGGGTTATGTTCACCATCCAGGGCAGACACAAAGCTGCCATCTCCCTCCTAAGCGAGCAGGAAATATACAGGGGCAAGGTTAAGTGTGTCACAGGGTGTGACGAGCTCAGACTCTTCTTGGTGTCGTTGGGCACTCACATGATGCTCTTGCAGGCAGCAATTTGCATGAGGCTGTGGGTTTGTACTCACACATGTTGGCAGCCCACCTATGCAGCAGCAGAGTGCAGTGTGAGTTCAGCTTCAGCTTGTACAAACAGAGCTCCCTCAAGCACACTTTTGGGCACAGAATTCTGTTAGGAATACAAGTGTGCTAAACACACCCCTTTCTTCAAAC